AAACTAAATATTTGTAAAACTGACCAAAAGTAGGAGATAAAGCATATTTGCTATGTGGTTAAATTAAACATATCCATACAAATGTTACTTTTTCAAGGGAATTTGAAAAGCAAGAATCTTTGTTTCTCAGTGAATTGATGAAAAACTTTCAAAAATAAAATCCTAAAAGCAATAAACTCCTAAAGATTTATAAGGAAATTTCTTTCTAATAATATATTAATTTTCAATGAATTCCAAGTGAAAGTTGGAGAAAGAATAAAGATACTAAAAAGACACTAATCTCAGAAATATTGGCTACTGTTTGCTCTGAGGTGTTTATTATACTTTCTTGTTTAAAGAAAATTAAAGAACTAAAACTTTTAGAAAGTCTATATTTTATGCTCAGTGACAAATATCAAAATAGTGTCTGAGAAAATATATATACTAATAAAACTTAAACTCAAAAATCTTGCTATGAGTAGGTAGCAAAACAAAGATGGCGTTGAGATACAAAAAGGAGAAAGCAGACAAATGACTACACATTTTGCTCCATTTAATGGCACTTCCATGACTGAAGTGGTCAAGGCAATGTTCATGAAAGATGTAATGATGTGTGGTATGAAAGCTCAAATTTCATTGGAAACTACTCCTTTCTTTTATTTGCTGTCGAGTTAAAAAATGGCTGAAGCCAGAGGGTTGTGATAGAAAGTAACAATAAAAATTTACATTATTTGGACTGTTATTCTCATCTTCATTGCCATATTTACAACATTTCGGCCATTGTATGCTCTGGGCTTCATCAGGTGAGTGAAATTTCAAACTGAACCCTTTATTTCAGCCACGGGTGTACAACAGCCGAAAAGTTGTGAATATGGCAATGAAGATGAGGATAACGGTCTGAATAAAGTAAATAATATAAGTAATCATAATACCACATCTCAGAGATATAGACAAATAAAAAGTTAGTCATAATGAAAAAGTTTATCAATGAAGAATGATGTGATATTGTGATTGTGATATGTGTGACATTAGTCAACTATAAAAAGTTAGTAATTAAATATTAAGAGAGGAAGCATGGTAGAGTAATAGATAGTGGCTCGGATTGAGGAATTGGAGAGATGAGTTCGAAAGATACATAATAGCCTAAGTGTGTATCACGCATGGCATATAACTGACTGAATTAAATATTCGTAAATTTCTGAAAGATTCCAAAAAAAAAAAAAAAAATAAAGGGAAGCAACTCTTGTCATGTCCTGTTTCAATGTAGAAAACCTATTTTATTTTGAGAAATTAATTTATTTTTCTCTATTTTATCATATTTGACAGTTACTGCTTTTATATATGAAATGATGTTCTTTTAGAGAATATTTAGTATTTACAGCTATAGATGACCCAAGTTTTCTGAATCTTCCGAGATTACATGAGGGAGGTCTTTTATTCTTGTTTTTTATTTTTGCAAATGCAGCCTTTATGCCATCAAGTATGTGACATGAATTTGAAGTTAATTTTTTTTCACAAGAAATAAACACGAGCTGAAGTACCTGACTACACCATGTAAGAAATAAAGATTTGATAATAACAGTAAAATACAGCTAGTTATAATGACAGTAAAATGGTAACTGCCTTTATAAAAGATGATTCCACACAAAAGAAAAGATGCAGACCACCACACTTTCTTCATGTGGAGTGAAAAGAAAATTTTTACAACTTTCCTCTGAGCCCAATAAGTCTGCATACGAAAACAGGTAATTGTGTATGAACTCTTTCCAATTATTCATATATGTTGTAGCATACCTACTGAGGATAATGGGTATGTCCCCATTACTGTATGTTGGTCTGCAGTTGGAGATTCATGGTGGAATTTATTTGACTCACTTCTAGCAGTTGACTATTGCTTCTACGTGCTGCTGGGGAATCTTATATGTGTTGTTCTAAGTATTATCGTTCATTACCAACCTTCATTTGATTATTCTATTCAGTAACCTTCCCAAGGTTATAACATTTTAGCGACAAGGATTAGCCAAATTTACAACAATATATAACCAATAATTCTCTTCATCAATGTTTACAATCTCACTTCCTCCATGACAAATACCAATAACAATAGACCTGTCTAACACTTTAACTCCGATCAAAATTTTAAATTTAAGTTTATTTTCATAAAAAGTTTTGCACATCGAGGAATCAGAGATGTAGTTTTTGCTAATATGATTTCCAGTGGAAAATAATCCTATCTACAAAAATATCTGTTGGTTAGTAATTTCCATTTCTGTTTGTCCCTCGGACTGTTGATGAAGGACACAGGTGTGTCCAAAAATTCCAAACATAAAACCTTTCTCTCTGTGTTTCATTTTTGTCATGTGGTTAATAGTTAATAAATGTTTATCTTATTAATTATATTGTTACCCTTTCATTTGTCCTTTTTTTTTATTAACTAACAGGAAATTTAATGACAAAGTTGAAAAAACATTTGTGTGACGAGTTTCATCCTTTAGGACTTCATTCAACTAAAGTGATGTTTATGTTGATATGACTATGCATGTGCATGAAAAAGAGGTGGGGGTCACTGAAATTTTAAACTTTTAAATTCAAATTTTGTTTTTTTTAATGTGTTTAGATTGGTTATATAGTCTAGCCAATTTCATTTAGTTTCTTTTTACTTATATTTTTATCCCATATTCTTTCTGCCAACAAAGGTGAAATACTGTAAGAACTTAGATGCAAATTTACTGTGGATGATCTAACGATTAAAACACTTTCTATACACTCTTACCTTTTTAAATTGCTTTCTCTTAATTAAGGTAGCATTTTTTAAATTGAAATTTGGTCAAAATCATTGTGGTAAGCAACTAATGTATTGAATGTGTTGCTTTGTAAAAGATCCTGTTTGTATTCATATAATCTTTTATTTAAATTCTTCAAAGTTTCTACTATGTATTCCTGGTCACAATTATTACAGCTGATAAATTCCACCTTCAAGTTTTAGCTTATTATTATTATTACTATTATCAAGTCTTTTATTGTTTTAGAAGTGGTTGTATGAAATTTTATTCTTTTTAATTGAAGTTGTGATAGAATTGGTAGGTAGAATAATATATTTTGATTCATAAGGTTTGTCACAATGGACAACTCTTCTGCTTTGAAATATTTTATGAGTCTTTTATTTCATGTTGAGTATGAAATAATTAAGGTATTAGAGAAGCTTAAAAGTATTTTCAGTATATTTTTCCACTTCATATAAATATTGAGAGCTACATATACTGAGTGCTCTTAAACAGAATTTGATAATTATTCCGGATTTTATGTTGTTGTCATGATGAGAATAGAAATTTATAAAATCATTTTTAATAGTTTATCTGTGATAGACACATAGTTTTAGGTTATTGTCAGTATAGTATTACATGATATCTAAGAAAGATATATGGTTATAGTGGCATGAAATCACAAGACATCGTAACTAAGGGTTTGAGCGTAATGACCTTGCTGAAACTGTTAACCACACCAGATGATGCACTCTCACCCAGAAACTGTAGCTAAGGATTGTTCATTGAAGTTGCAGTATAAACCATGGGCAGGCTCTGTGGGTGTTCAACAAACACAAATATGCCTGAGCAAGAGTCTGCAACAGGAATTGACAAGCCACTCGAGATGATTGATATACTCAGATATGAGCAGCCAGCCATTTCATTTTTTTTTTATTTCTATTTAATATCTTATTTTATTTTTTATTTTAGAATTTACGTTTTTTATTCTTTAATTCTTTATTATTTATTCATTATTTACATTCATTTTTTTTTTAAATGGACTGCTACACTGTCTTAACAATAATATTTAAATTTTATGGTCAGTTTTCAATCAGCACATGAAAATTGCTGTGTGCATGAAACTCAGAGTTGTATCAAATGGTGAGGAACAAATGTATATTATTAATATAAATTTTAGCTGTGTTACATTGAGCACTTTTATTATCACCAGCATTAACAGTACAATAGTCATATATATATATATATATATAAAATGTAAATGAGAAAATCGGCAGTCAATTGCAGATACCTCCTGATGAGTGGACCAAATGATTACAAAATAAGGTTTGTCTATGAAGCTCTGGAGTCGGGATGCTGAATATAACATCAGTCAGCTAAGTGACAAATTTTATATTTGTATTAAACATATATATATATATATATATATATATATATATATATATATATATAAATCATGTATTTGGGCAGCAATCCCTCTTTTATACAAGTTTCATTAAAAATGACTGAAAAGGTACTCTGGTTAAGTCTTTTATTTAATTTTTTATATGTTTTTTATAATTTTCTTTTTTTCTGGATGTGAATTATATAGAAATTGTCCAAATGTATGTATAAATGCTTTTGGTTATATTTTAGCCATTATCAAGGATGAATTCTATTTTTACTTTTAACTGAATGTATGGATTGTTTTATGTATGTATCTAGAGTTATAGGAACGCTTTATTTTACAAACATGGTCAGCACATTGTGGTCGTATTTGATAATGGCTAAAAGTATAGCCAAAAGCGCTTGGAAAAACAAAACATTTTGACAATTTCTATTTAATTTACATCCAAAATAGAAAAAAATTATAAGAACTTAACCACAGTAACCTGTCAGTCTTCTTTAATGAAACTAATGTGTGTATATATATATATATATATATATATGTGCGTGTGTGTAAATTTTATGCTGTCTATTTAGTGCTCAAAGATGATAAAGTAAAAAAAATAATTACAAAAAATACATTAAAAAAATGCTCAATTTTCAAGAATACTATATGAAAGGGGAAAAGAAAATGAAAGCTGACTGATAAAATGATTAATTCTAAGCCTCTATAAGAAATAGCTTTAAATTGAACAGGAATATCCTTTTATGTTGCTTCAGAAATATATTTAAGTTCAGGATGTGAAGAGTAGGGACATAAATTATAAAAGTTAAACAGTCTACTGCATAAGGAAAAGAAAGAAAATACAAATATTGAGAAAAAGTTTAACTCACAATTTCCATCAAATACAAGGCTTCTTCAGGATACAACCACTTCCGCTTTTCATCAACAAAGCCCATTTTGGCCCAAAATTTTCTCTGTAACAGGATAAAGAAAAGGAAAATTTATTCAGACAAATATCAGATTTTCCACTGGCCTAAAGTCAGGTCTGCTTCTAAGAAATTTGTTCACTGTGTCATGCTAAACAATTTTTCTTGCCTAAATACATTTTACAACTGTATACCAATCGTCCATCCATTGAATATTGCAGTCACATATGGTCTGCTGCTTCTGCAATGTATTTTGAGATTCTTGACAAAAATCCAATGAAGAATCTGCAATGTTATTGGTCTTGACCTGGCATCTCAGATTCAGTCACATTCTCACTGCCATAACATATCTTCCACATCCCTTTTCTATAAATATTTTCATGATAATTGTTCTGATGAGCTTTCCTCTTTGGTACCAAGACTTTATGAATTTAAGAGTAGTACTAAATTGGCAGTTAGGTCTCATAATTTTACAGTTGAAATTCCTAGATGTAACCATAAGTTCTATGCTAATAGTTTCTTCTCTCACACTTCTTGTTTGTGGAACTTTCTTCTGGCTTCTTAAGTTCCCAGCTAACTTTGATCTTCAAAAATTTAAATGCAATGTCAATCATCATCTTCTGTCTCCTTAAATGCTGTTCTTTTATTGTCCTCTCTCCTTAATAATAATTCATGTTTTTTTTCACTATCAGTAATCCTAGTGTGCAGGCTGATAAATAAAAAAAAAATCTAAAATTAAATAAACAGAATGTCTATTTCAAACATACACTAGAAATAACATCTGAAGTAATAAAAATGTTGGATTAAAAATAAATCCATTACTTCTTTAGAAATTGCTTTGTTTATGTTGTGGATATGGGCTTTTGAGAAAATCTGAACAAGGGAGTGTGCATTCCTTAAAAGGATAAATAGAATCTTGCTGTGCTGGGATGCTCTCTGTGGCCAAGTGGTCTAAAGCATACTGGATCAAATGGTGGTTACACCTAAAGGAGTGGGGACTGGTTTGAACCTTGCTACAGAGCACATTTTCTTTATTAAAATTTACTCGAGTGCACAGGCTGATAGACCAAATACACACTGTTTAAGAATAAATAAAAAACAAGATTTCTATTTCAAACACAGGTATCTACTAAAAATAATGTTATTATATATATATATATATATATAATAGTTGGCCACTTGTATTCGAGGATATCCAACTACTAGGGCAGCTAGCCAAAATGTGCCTGAGCAAACGTCTGCAACAGGGACTGGTCACCCACCCTAGAAGATGGGAATGCTTAGCTCAGAAACAAGTAACACACACACATACACAAGAGAGTGAGAGAGAAAAAGGCAGACTATAGCCACTGTATACAGACTATGTTGTATATTTTCCTCTCAATTCCTGGTCATTGAAAGAAATAGAGTGAGAACAAAAGGGAGATAAAATTGGGAGTTAAAAACTCACAAGTCATTAGGGGGGGGATGCAAAACCTGACAGAAAGGTTGGAATAGGAATAATCTATTTTTTGTTATATATGAAGCAAAACTGAAGGTTCCATTCAAAAATATCCAAAGATTGTTGGATAAGATCTACACTCAAGGTCAAAAAGATTAACATCCAAAAACTTTACAATAGAAATAAAAAAAAAAAATGAGAATGTTTGTCTGAAAGAATCGGTGAATAGAAAGAGAAGTGCTTTAGTATTAAGGGGAAAAATATACAAATGACAAGTACTTACAGCATCTTTCTTGTATTCCACAAGATTCTTCTCAGGGTCCCAAATTCCTACGAGAAGAGATCCCCTATAAATAGACACAAATAATTTTACAATTCAGAAAGCGTAGGAAAAATTAATAATCAATTGTTGGGAGGGGGCAAATATGTTATGCAAGAAACCATTTTTTAAATTTTTCTTTTGATTTTTTTGTCAAGAACTCATAAGAAAATGTGTCTTTGGCAAATTTGCATGAAGCTGAATCTCATCTGAGTTTTGGTCAAGTAAATTTGTCATAAAATATTTTAGGAGAATTTCTCTATAAAACAAAAATAAGTTATCTTGCAATTAATATATAACCATCTTTTCTTCTTTGGTCAAATATGTTGTATTTGGAAAGAGTTAATAGCATTTATTTGTTAAGCGGTTTATCGAATACTGAAAAAAATAAAAGAAAAGAAAAAAGACAGTATATTTTGTTGAGTTCTTCCTAATATTTGCAGATTCAAAGTGAGTCTAGAAATATATTTTTATCATTACTCTTCCAAGGATTCAGTCTTTTCATAAACTAGTTTAAACAGTCAGTGTCATAACAAAGACACTTTGGTGACCAATTCAATAGAGATAATGAGTACAAAAAATATTACCGGCTGCAATGGAGATAACTTTAATATAAAAAAAGACACCACAGACAAAAAAAATCACTTGGCTTATGGTAAAGAGGAGTATTAGTATTTAGTAATGGAGGTATTTGTTGTTAATAATTAGTTATGAGAATATTTATAAGGACGAACCAAGTCTGGTTAAAGGCTAAGTAATTTTGAATGAAACCAAAAAAAAATAATTTAATGAAGTGATCGATGGGATTCTTCATAAGGTTCCCAAATTCCTATAAGAAAAGGTAACCTATAAAACAAAAATATGCTATCTTACAAGTAATTAGTAACCAATCTTTTTGGGGCAAATATATGTTGTTTAAAGAGATTAAATAAACTAAATAAAATTCAAGGTGTTTATCCATACTGTAAAAAAAAAAAAAAAAAGACTATATTTTGTTAAGTCTTTCCTGTTATTTGAAGATTTTCACAAGTGGGTCTGGAAATATGTTTTTATCATTATTATTGGACCCTACTGTTTCATAGAATTGGTCTTTTTATATCCTGACAGTTTCAAAAAGTCCATCAGGATCATAACAGACACTTTTTGGCTGACAGCCATATCACATTGAAACAACAGTTCATGTCTGATCACTGAGGTTAAGCAATGTTGAAACTGGTCAGTATCTTGATGGGTGACTGCTCAAAAATACCAGGTGCTGTAAGTTTGAATGTGCAGGTGATGTAAAGGATAAAGGCTTGGAATGAGAAATTGGAAAGCTGAGTTAGAATTCCAGTAGGGTTTGTTTCCCAAGGGTGAAAAAGAAAGGTACAAATCCACCCCTTTTCCACCCAGCTATGGGTTAAATGGTAAAACGTGTATTAAATGATCATTTTATTTCAAAGAAATTCTTACAATCCCAAAATATGTTTCAGCTTTAAATTAACTGAAAAAGATTGATAAGCTTTAAAAATGAAATCAATCAGACACATTGGTAACCAACTCAATGGAGATAATGAATATAAAAAATATTATATGCTGCCAATGCAAGGGAGATAACTACCATAATTAAAAGTTACAAACATGACAGACAAAAAAAATCACTTGGCTTATAGTATAGTAATGAGGATTATTAGTATTTAATAATATTTACTATTAGTATTTAGTTATGGAAATGATAAGGTGAACCTAGTCTGGTATATGGTTAAGTAATTTTGAATAAAGCCAATAAGAAATTATTTAATGAAACAATCCATAAGATTCTTTCTGGGGTCCCTAAATAAAACAAAAATGTTATCTTACAACTAATTAGTAACCAATCTGTTTTTAGAGATTAACTAACATTTATTTAAGTAGTCTATCCATACAATATAAAAAAACACGACCACATATTTTGTTAAGTCTTTTTTTAGAAAGTTTTCACATTTAAGTTTAAAATTATTTTTCCAATTATTATTGTGATTTACTCTTTCATAGAGTCAGCTTTTTGACCTGGCTTCTTAAATATATTCAAACAGTGTCAGGGTCACAACAAAGACACAATGGTGACCAATTCAATAGTGATAACTAGTACAAAAAGTACGACATACACTGAATGCAGGGGAGATAATTCTATGTTAAGTTACAAATTTGAACTGAATTTTACAAGCTTTGACGTTTGCTTAAATTAAATATTAAAATTTTAGATGCTTTAATTTCTGTATTATTTTATTGAAATGTCCAGTATTTTAATATCTGTCAAAAATCATTAACAACAATTTTTTTTTCTTAAGAACTGTAATGTAATATCAATCTTCCTCTATGGCAGTGAATGATGGACAATTTCCTCAAAGATGATAAGGAAACTGGAGACAACAGAAATGTACTTCTACAGAAGAATACCATGGAAAGAACATATAAATAATGAGGAAGTTTTAAGGAAAATGTCAATGAAAAGAACACTTCCGGTTTGGATCAGAAAGAGACAGTGGAAATTTCTGGAACACATAATGAGGGAGGTAGGGTTAGAAAATTTAGCACTCATGGGACATATTGAAGGCAATAGGGGCAGAGGGAAACCCACCTAAGTTTGTATAAATTAATGGCAGAAAAGGTAATGCAAGTTATAGTAAGGGAACAAGCATTGCTAAGAGCTATGAAGAATAGGAAGTCGTGGAGAAGCATATCTCCCACATCCTTCTATAAAGGAGAAGATAAATTTATTTAAAATAGTTTATGTCAGGTGTAAAACAGATTTGTAAATATGTTTTACTACAGAAAAAACATTGCATATAATTTTACAATAAAAATTCCTTGAAAATTAGGAAGGATGAGATTGTCAATGATCTAGAATTAATATAGGCATTACTAACAGGATAGAATTTTTTTTATATATATATATATATATATATATATATATATATATATATATATATGTCATCCACAGACAGACTGTTTCGTTGTTTCACAGCTCATCAGTGTGGCTAGACATCCAGTTGCCTCTAGCTAGGATCGAAACCCGACTGAATTGGTGTCAGTCGGAGATTCTACCACTAAGCTGTCGGCACACAGCAGGGATGAAGGTGAATTTTAGCATATTTATTTTTAGAAACACACACAGTGACTGACAGTGACTCAATTCACTTTTTGCAAAGAGTCTCTCTATATATATATATATATATATATATATATAGAGAGAGAGAGAGAGAGAGAGAGAGAGAGATTTACAAACACTATGTTTCATTCAATTTCACAAATCAATTGATGAAATTTAAATAAGCTGATTTGTTTGGAAAAATATTTTGACAAGATCCCTACTTTGCGGTTTAATAATTTCTTTCATTTAATTTTGTAGGACATCATGGTAAACAATATTTTTTAAGAAAATTTCTTTTTCTTCCTTTTTAACAGCGAAAAATAAATTCCTAGGACTTTTTAAAGCATTTGACCTTGTGATTTGTTTATAGGTCTTGCAAACACAGAGTGAACTGGAAACTGGATTCTTGTATATAAAAACTTAAGATATGCAAAAAAAAACAATGTTGCATTTTTATTAAATAAGCATTTGTTATTTTAATCATTAAATTGTTTTTAAAATAGTTGGAGTATTTTGTTGAGTAAAAAACTTAAATTTTCCAAAATAATTATTGTACTAAACTGTGCCCTAGTAAAACCAATTGTACTTTGCACCATCTTATCTGTTTGCACTTCTCCCCAAAATCTGGTTTTGATCAGTCAATATATGGCTATTTTAGAGGGTGTGATGGCGTGACAGATGGACAGACTAAGAGAAGTCACATAATTTTTGTAGTTTAAATAAGTCTGTATTGCTGCAACGTCACTTATACAAGTCAAAATATTGCTGGTTCACTTCACTGTCCTCGCTTTCTGAACACATCACTACGTATAGCCATCATTCCTTCCTGTTTTCAGTGCTCCAGCCCTCTTTTATCAGGCCAACACCACGGTTCCCGAACCAATCAGCGTTCTTCGCTTTTATTCTTGGTTACACAGGCAAATTGCCTCCTCCAGTTCGACCAATCAACACACGACTTGCTATTGGTGGAAGCATGGCAATCTGTACAAAAAACCCTCATCACTGCACATATTGCTAGAATGGCTGGACAGGAGGGTAATGCCATTTTCACAGAGCAAATTTGCTGATGTCACATGCCGCATGTTAAGGTAAGACCCTTATTTTCCTATACACTAGATGCAAGCCACTCTGGCTCGCTTGCTTCTACGGGGTTGTTCACAACAATTTTATATATATATATATATATAAAACATAATTTCACGAGAGAACTGCATTGCAGATCAGAAAAGGATTGTTTGGGGTCAGGAATTAATGCAAGCATTATTAAGAGAATAGATTTATTACAGGTTGAGAATCCTTTATCCAAAATTCTTGGGACTGGAAGTTTTTCAGATTTTTTTCTGATTTTGGAATACAAGCTATTTAATTTGTATATAACGTCTATATTCCAGTTTGGGAATGGAGCCCAATCATAAACACAATACCCTTTTACATTTCCTAACACAGCTTATACACATACCCTGAAGGTAGTTTTATATTAATAGCATATACCTTGAAAGTAGTTTTATATAAAACTAGCAGCATGGCCCGGCGTTGCCCGTGCTTGATTCAAAAATCGTACGACTCATACAGCAATCGCTATCACTTAAAATATTTTTGCCCTTCCTTGCCTTTAAAGGAGTGCCCTTTGCCATGCTGATGTTGCTACATGCTTTACTTCTTACCTATCTCACACTGCGAATTTTTTCTAAGCTCTATACTAAACATTAAATCTGTTACGAAAAAAGAACTAAACAAAATGAAAACAAAACGATCAGCTTTAAAAAAAGGACTCGTAACTGGAAAAACCGAATGAAAAAAGAATGTTAACAACAAATACTTTTTCACACCCAAGCCAGTTCTGCGGAATCAGAATCAATGTTGAGTTTAAGCAAACGAATGAGCCAGTTGGAGTAAAGTGCCATGCAGATTTAAATTTTTCCCACTTGTGACGAATACAGCTATTGATTTTTTTTGCATGCTAGTTAACATTTGTGTCAGTCAGCTGTTGGCTCTCACGCTGGCCAATAGAATCTTCCTGCCTATTCGTGGCAGCCAGCTATAGGCTCTCACTCTGGCTGGTACAAAATGGCTGCAAACTACATGAAAAGTGCCGTAGAAGCATGAAAAAAATGGATTATTTCCACTATCGATGGGAGTTGGGAAATGCAAAGTCGTCTTGGCCTTCTTGCTAACTTGAAGCATGTGCATGTAAATTTTGGTGCAAATCTGTCTAAAATTGCAGCCGTGCATTCATTACACACACACACACATCCTGCCTTTTATAGATAGAGATTAAATAAATGTTGTGTACATACAGATACAGATAATGGTCATGTAATTCTCACATGGATTTTTAAGTGGTGAAAGTAAGATTTCATATAAAAATAATATTTTGTACTTTCTGTACATGTACAAAAAAAAACATGATCACTTCTTACAAAAAATATATAAATATTTTTGCTGAGCAAGAAACATCTGGTAAGTAATCCATGAACAAATATGTTGCTGTTACATTCACTAACAAAAAACTGGCACCAATATAGGCTAGCTAGCTGAGCTAGAAAACCCCCACCTAGGGCAGATGAGGTCACTTATAACAGCTGCACATCACTTAAGAACCTTCCCATTGCTTTCTGAAATTTTTCATTTGTGGCAAGTCATGTTAGCAACTTTGGATTTTGGAGGTATTCGGATTTTGGAATTTTTGATAAAGGCTACTCATCCTATATGAGCTAATACAAAAAAAAAAAAAAAAAAATCCATTCTTACAGTTTTTCTGTTCTTGGCTCAGTCAATAATGTTTCCATTCTTGAATAGAACATGTTCATTTTTTTCGCCTGTAGACAGGATTCATCAGGCTCAAAATCTTTATGGCCACCTTTTGAAGGAATAGACTTTTCAGCTCTTTTGGAATGGTTATACAACTCTTCACCACTGGAAAGGAAAAGAGAAAAATGATAAATACTGAATTAAGTATTATGTCCCAAAACTCAAAGAAATTTCAATTTTACTATTTTGGTGTGAAATGCTTAAATTAATCAATTGGTTAAAAAAATATACTGGATAATTCCATCTCTTTGCAAGCAAAAAGATTTTCTTTATTCCTTAAAGTTATCCACTATAATTTAAGTTAGCCTATTGTCTCATGATTTTTCTTCTTTTCTGACAGGTATAGACTACTTGTAGAATGTTTTACCTTGTTTTATTGATAACTAGCCTAGAAGCCACACTTTGGGTGAACTTTAGGCTAGCTGCTGCAGAGGACTTTTGGGCTTCAGTGTCCTATGTACATAAAAGTTATAGGAATTTAGAAATAATAAAATTATTTTATCTCTATTCGACATAATTCATATAATCTTTCTTCATGGAATAATACAACACTACTTTGTTTATATTTACAGTTATTTTGGTATATTCTTGGGAAGACTGTTTTGACTAAAATTTCTCTTTCAAAATCTACTATCTTTCTTTTACCAACCCATATTTATATGATCCCTTTACATAAAAAGTCATACACAACATATACACAAACTTTGTTTATATCTATTTTGCACGCAGTTTTTAACATTCTTTATTCCCTTTTTATGACATTCTTTCTTTCTTTTTATGTGCCGTGTCCTTTCAGGATGTAGGCAATCATGGCCCTCCACTTTCCCCTCTCCATTGTGGCTCTCAACAGGTTTTGTGTTTCTGCCAACTTCCCCAGACCATGCTTCGCTATCCACCTGCCCAAGCCCACCACATATGTCATGCGCTGCTTTCCCCTGTCTCTTTTTCTCTCTATTCATCCTGTGAGTATCAGATTCTCCAGGCCCTCCTTTCTCATCACGTGTCCCAGAAATTTCATCTGCCTTTTCCTTATGTTAAGCATAATCTTCCTCCTTGTTTGCATCCTCTCCAAGACCTCATCAATGCTCGCTCCATGATATCCTCAGCATCCTTCTGTAGAATCACATCTCTGCCAATTAAAAGTCTCTTCTTCATCCTTGAGGATACCATCCAACATTCACTGCCATATATGAGGACAGATGTCACATAGCGGCTCAGTACTCTTTTCTTTGTCTCCATAGAAATCCTCCTGTTTTGCAGTACTCTGCTCAGCTTCTGGAATGTATCCTTGGCCATCCCAATCTGTCTTCGGATCTCAGCGTCGCACCTACTGTCCTCCGTCAGAACACTTCCCAGATACTTAAACTTCCACGCATGTTTGATTTTAGTGTCCCCGATCTGCAAATCGCATTTTAAGCTCATCCTTTTACTGATGACCAAGCATTGTCTTCTTGTAGTTTATGGTTAGTCCTTTCTTCTCACTCTCCCTTGCTACCTTCTGTAGGAGGTTTTGTAGTTTCTTTTCCATGTCTGCTATCAGTACAGTGTCATCTGCGTATCTTATGCTGGTAAGGTTGCGGCTGCCAATGATGAATCCTGGTAGGATCTCCAGTTCCCTCAGAATGGCCTCACTGTATAGGTTGAATAAGTCCGGTGGGAAGACCCATCCTCGTCTTATGCCTCTTTCTAATATTGTCTATTCGCTGAGCTTATTCTTGATGTGAATGCATGCCATTTGCTGCCAGTATAGGTTCTTGATTATTCTGATATCTTTCCCAAATATATCAAGGTTGCTGAGCAGTTCTAGCAGGTTCTTGGGGTGTACTTTGTCGAATGCTTTTGCGTAGTCTATAAAACATAGATACATGCCATTCTGTATCTGTATTGCTGTTTCCGATAACATTCTAAGAATGAATATCGCGTTCCTTGTTCCAGTGTCTTTGACGAACCCGCACTTTTCTTGTCCTATCTCTGGCCCGATTCTGCTGCATGCTCTATTCATCATAGTACAGATGATGTGTTTTGTGACATGGCTCATTAGGCTGATTGTTTGGTGGAGCTTGCATTTGTTTGCACCTGGTTTCTTAGGTAGTGCTATAAAAATAGATCTCTCTGAGATCCTCCAGTACGCCCCCACTGTTATAGATTTCATTTATTATTTCAGTGATCTTGTCTATGCCAAATTCATCTAAGGCTGTCTGCATTTCTGTTATGATTCCGTCTTGCCCTGCCACTTTGTTTCTGTTCAATTTGGCCAGTGAAGCTTCTACTTCGGTTTTTAGAATTTCAAGTCCGTCTGTGTTGTTCTCTTTCGTTGTGGAAGAGTTCGCCAATATACTTGCTCCAACGTTGAAGAATTTTTTCCTGCTCTAATATGAGTGTTCTGTCCTTTGATTTTAAGCAGCCTGTTGACAAGCATGTCTTCTGTCCTGCTAGTTGCCTTATTTGTTTGTGCATATCTCCTTTGTTGATGGTATTCAATCTCTGTACTTCTGCACATTTTTTGTTTAGCCTGTCTACATACTGTTCCTTTCTTAACCTTTAATAAAGGATTGTTTTTTAAACCTTTCACTCTGTTCAAGATTTATTTTCTTTAAAATCACCATTCTTTATGATCTGTTCACATAAAGTCACTCTTAAAAGACATTAGGGAGCCTGAACTATGTAATATTTCAAATATGTCACAGTACATGTGTTAGAAAAAAAAACATATGAGCAACATAACGTGCCTTGCTTAAGTTTTAATTATGGTTTAATTCAACAATATCAATTGCAACTGTGATGAAATTAAAGTTAAACCTTTAATAAAGGATTGTTTTTTAAATCTTTCACTCTGTTCGAGATTTAAATTTAACTTTAAATGAGTTATTTATTTAATTTTTAATCACACGTAAATATAGTAGTTATTACCTGTTACATTAGGTTGGTTATGAATAATGAGATTGAAAAACAGATTGATGACGGACATATGTATACTGTGATTTATTTATATAAGATTCTGCATGATTATTTAATATCATAAAATTATCCATGATCCTCTTTGACAATGGTTGATCAAAAAGTTGGACACTTAAGTGTATTTACACTGCATTTTTCTTTTTGATGTTAATTTTCATCATGTCTCCACTTCTTCAAACTACATTTATTCCAACAGACAGAAAGATGCCGACCTGACAAAGTAAATCTAGCAGCTGCTCACAAAATAATCTCCAATCAGTTATTAACCAGGGCAAGAAATGGCATAAGCATACTACTATATTGACAAATAGGTCTCATTATTTTACTTGTTGAAATAATTAGATGTAACTGTAAGTTCTATTCTAATAGTTTCTTTTCTCACCCTTCCCACCTTTGGAACTCTCTTCCAGTTTCTTGCTTCCCTGTCATCTACGATCTTCAAAAATTTAAATGCAATGTCAATTGCCATCTTCTATCTTCCAGATTCCTGTTCTTTTATTGTCCTTTCTTCTCACCAGTCTTCTCATTCTCTTTCACTCCCAGTAACCCCTTGCATCTTAGGAGTATTATCACGTTGCTTGGAGTGAAATTATTAAAAAAAAAAACATACAAGAAATTACCATTAACAATCTGAAACAAGCATAGATGCTCATTTGCATAAGAAGAGTTCTGGCTTGGGCATGGAAAATGTAACACAGAAATCCAAGGGTGTGATGGAATTTTGAAATATGCCTTCCAGAAACTAAACAAACTATTAAGAGATAGGTAGATTTCATTAGAAACAAAGAAAAGAGTGCTGAACTATTATACCATATCTACACTTATATGGAAGTGAATACTGAATAATTTTCTTAGAAATGAACAAGAGACTTGAAGTGACATTTTGCCACGAGATGTTGGGAAGACCATGGATGAAATGTGATCAACAGCAAAGTTTCAAGAAAAACCTGAAAGAGTTTAAATTTAAGGAAGGAGGACTAGGAGAATTTAAAATTCACAGGACATATTGAAAGCAAAATGGAAACAATAAATAATCTACCTAATGAGCCTGTGTAAAAATGGATGGCAGAGTGGAAACTGGGACAGATGGTAAGAGGACAAACATTGATTAGAACAGTGATTCTCAATTGCCATGCCACGGCACCTTAGTGTGCCACATGATCCTCTTAAGTGTCCCACAAAATATTGTCATGACATACATATATATGTGGGTGTGTGGAAGTAGTAATGGTACATGATTAGTATTTGAATAAATGAATAAGTATTAAACTTTTTTCAAATAATTCTTTTCGCTATTCTTCAATTATGTTATGTTAAATACTTTGTTTTAATATTAATGTTTTTTAAAATACCCTTTAAAAATTTTGCTAAGTGTGATATTTTCATTTCCTCTTAGGTGTTCTGATGTTTAAAAAAGGTTGAGAAACAGTCTTAGAGCTATAAAGGACAGGAAATTGTGAAGATCATTTAAGTCCTGAAGGGACATGACCCATAAATGAAGGACTTATTGCAACATTGTTGAAAATTTACAAATTATTAAAACAAGCTAATTCCTAGAAATATTTTCAGCAAACCAATATCTGCTTCTACAAACAGTTACATCTTACACAACACGAAAACAATTTCTTTTTTTAACCACTTTTTTAGAACTATTTTTGAAGCATTTGTTTTCTACATTCTTGCCAAAAACTGTAGATAAGCAAGCAGTCTTTATAATGTCTTATTTTTTTCTCTCTCCAGCTAACAGAAATAAAACCCTAATCATTAGCTTTAGTTTACGAGGGTTGGCTGAAAAGTTCATAGGCTGACCAAAATACTCTCATGGAATGTGAACAAATAGGGTTTATTTTTCAACGTAGTCCTCACTTGTGATCTACACACTTTTTCCATCAGTATTGCAGTGTTTGGAGTCCATTGGTGAAGAATTCATAGTCAGTATACAATCTTTTCAGCCCACCTTCATAAATCAACATCTAATTCTAACTATCCCAGAAAGTAACCTTAAAGAAAATGAACACAATAAAAGAACAACTCAATTTCCAGATGGTTATGTTTGAATGAAATACACTGGTTTATGCTATGGTTTGAATGGGCGACATTAAGAAAATTAAAAACAAAATTATTTTTTCAATTGTTTAATGTCCAGACCAGCTGTTGAACAGATCTGATCATGGCAAGTGTTTCTACTGAAATTTTTTTGTTTCTTAATATTTTGTGGGTTGTGGCCATATAGTGTTGAAACACTAGTACCAATACAATCACCAAAGTTAAACAATGTCAAGTCTGGTCAGTACATAGATGGATAACTGCTTGGGAATACCAGGTGCTGTAAACTTGGATGTGCAGATGCTGTAATGGATAATGGCTCAGAATTGTTAAATAGAAAGCCAAGTTCCAAATCCCATTGGGTTTGTTATATTTCTTTATGCACAAATACCCTTAGGAAAGGTATGAATCTACCTTTTCTTCCACAGCTATGGGTTAATTAGTAAAACTTGTATCACTAAATTATTATTATCTAAAAAAAAAAAAAAATTAAATTCATACAATTTAAAAATATTTTCTGGCTTTAAATCATCTTTGAAATGTTGATAAACAGTAAAAAATTTATCAATACTTTGCTTAGCTTTTGGAAGGCATCTTTCACTATCCTATTGCTGCAATAGTATTGCATGATCAGATGAATGTCTCACTTAATCCTAAAACATTCCAGATATTTAAATTGTTTGTACTCATTTGATTTTGTTATCTCCAACCTAAATGCATGATGAAATAAATGTATTTTCGACTTATTGACAACAGTTGTTACATGTAACCAAGCAAACAAGGGTAGGATCTATTCAACAATCTCTTGGGCAACTGTAGTAACACAAGGTCTTTCTTATTGGAAGGACTTACACGCTTTCACATGATGGAGTTTTAAATCAATTTTAAAAGGAATCTTATGTCACGAAGTCATCGAAAGGGGACAGCATTAAAAAAAATCTAAATTTTCTCAGAATTTTATAAGGATAGAAATATAAGTATGAAAATTGAAAATAAACAACTCGTGCATAATATCAAAATCTAAGGCGGGATGAAATGAACACAGAATGTATTTGTAATGCACATGAGTGAGATCTAAACTGAAAATTGCGACGGAGAAGTTTTCATGCCGATACAAAAAAAATAGTCTCGCTAGAAAGGACTTTTCAGGAGGCAAATGGAGTAAAAAATGTTTCACATTTATTTATTCAAATAATAAAAAATATATAACACAGTAGATAAAAATAATAATCATAAATACTTTTTAAAAATAAAAATGTTCGAACACGTGAGAGCTCTCGGCCATTACTGTGAACAACAACATGTACCCTGACTACTAGTCTCTTCTCTCCTGAGGAGGTGCTGACTGCAGGATAGATCCCTGGTCGCCAGATGAATTTTTTTTCTTTTTTCGCCCAAGTAGTCTGAGGGGAGAGAGAGAAACACAAACTGAACTTCCGATCTAAAACAATTTCCAGGTATGTAGTGTGTCACTAACTGCCGTAATCTAAAAAAAAAATCCTTTCTAAAAGCACCGAATTAGAGAGAAAACATCACCATCAAAATAACCAATAAATAAAAAATGAATTTTCAATATTTTTTCTTCAAATGAATAGTTAAAAATAAAATAAATTATACTTGTAAAATCCACGATGACGCAAACGGAATTCCAGGGAGAAAAATAATGTATTTCAGTTAAGTGTAAAATGAAGAGAGGAAATTAAATACTACCTCAAGATGGTATTAGGTTTAAAGTATTTCATAAAATCCAGTTTAGGGTCTGTTACCGTATTTACATCGCTATTCGATGGGCAATCAGACAAATCATTCGAAATCGAAGCAACCGGCTCTTCCATGCTTGCTTGTGATTGTAACTTTTTCGCCTCTTTTCCTTTTAGCACCGGAGAATTCTATCGAACCAAACAAACGGAGTAAACGATTGAATTTTATAACTACGGTAGTCGCAAAGAAAAACAATTTTCATACTCATAAGATTAAGAATACTTGCATACACATATTTTTACAGGCAATATCAGTTGAAAAACACAGTTCATTTGTTTACATGGTACACTATTATACTGCGACAACTTTAAAAGTGAATAAGTATTACAGCGTACATAAAAATATATGTTTAAAAGCACTTAATGCATTGCTCATACCGTATATTAACACTGAGAATTGGCATGTTGTTCACTTTAGTGATTGAAACAATTTCGCCTGCTACATACTGAATTATCTCCCTTAGATTACTTTATCTCGCCATATATTCTGAGCATGGCCAGACTTTAGAAAATCATTTAATTGTTAGATGAAATTGAAGTAAATTAATTTGGATTTTAGACGGTCATTTATTTTATTTCCGAAGTAAGACTAAAGGAAATCGGTCCGTCTTTTATTTTTCTTTAGTTATTTATTTTCATTTTTTAATCGGTTTCACCCCCTGCAAGGTAGTAAAGCCACTAAGACACAAGGGTAACAGAAACATTAATAATGAGCTGGAAAAGAAATGAGTAATCAGGAGGACAGCAAATAGCGATTGATATTGCATTTACAATTTGTAAGTGTTATTGGTCACAATTATTGAATTATAGTTCAATTTTCCTGGCTCACCCGAGATGGGTGGTTGAAATAATGTAATGTGCTCACGCCCCAGGTCGGCCCCCACCAAGTAGTACCTCTCCTGCTAGAGCGGTCTATGGTCATTATCTTGTACCTGAGGTGTCTCCAAAAGGGAAAGTTTCGATGTGGTGAATGAACAATTTATGCCACTGTCCATGTACACGTAAGCATACATTTTAAACTTGACCTTATGCCCCATTCCGTTCAAGTAGGCGGGGGAATAAATATTTTTTTTTTATTTTTGGAAAATGTGCCCTCAGAATATGAAAAAAAAAAGTTAAAGCAAACTGACGGAGATAATTTGGTATGTGAAGATTTTTTCCGGCGTTAAACTCGACGATATCGGAGATTTTTTTATGCCAAAGGCCCACGTCAAAATGTAACTCAATCTTTCTAATATTATTAAAGAATTTTTTGAAACTGGGTTGTGGAGTCGTTCAAATTTCGGGCTAGTCTGTTACATTCACTTTCGCGCTAATGTCCTTGGGAAATTAATGAATTCTTCCCTAACAATGGGTTAAGCATGTGAGTAGACGGGGTTCTCTAGCATTGGATAACAACAAGACTTAAAAGACTCTCAGAAAAGCTATCTGAATTCCTATGGTGATGAAACTGTCACAGTTAGTTTCTCATTAATTCCCTAATTGTTCATTAGGGGTCGCTGTCTCTACACTATAAATACTGGGCGACTTCTTGCCTTGTTCTCTTTTCTACTTTCCATTTCAGCGGACACATTTAAAAATGTAATCTCTCGTAGAAATTCGCGTTTCGCCCAGTTATGGGAAAACGCCATGAAACACATACACGTACGTACGAACATTCACCGAAGAAAAAACACAAATATTAATTAATGTCTTGTTGTTTAATCCATATTTGTAAGTCTTGTTGTTTAATACCTATTTGGTGACATATATATATATCGGTCTTGTTTGTCTTCTTTACCTCTTCGGTTGGACTCAACTTGAGTCCGCCATTTTCTTGTAGTTGGACCTTTTTCTATCAGGAAAAACAGCACGTGTTCCTTAATACAGCAACACATCGCAAACCCACGCGATCCTCTACAAAAATACTCCATTATCTTTCCTAGAAAAGTATGACAAGTCACAGATAATAAATAAAAAAAGAATATATGGAAGGTCCTTATTGCCGATGTCCAGGAGGGAAATGTCATTAAAATAAATAAAAAGCTAGTTCAGAAAGAAACTTACAACTTAAAAGCGCGACTGAAATTAGCACTTCTGTTGAGAAGTTCGTGGTAGTAAGCACCGGCCCTGTCGATTATTATAGTTGATGTTAAAAAAATGGTAGACGTCACAACGGGGACCCCAAAAAAACGCCCCCCCACCTCTGTCGGAGGTAATACTCGACAGCCCTGTTTAGAATCGAAATCATAGAGCTATAACAATGATGGTACCCTGTGAAGATAGAACTAACCAACTTTATTTTCATTTAAATTGGAAAATTCCCTGATTTTGTGGTAATTTAATAAAAGAAATCCCCTTCCAATTTTCTTTCGTGGTCCCCAGGTTGGGAAACCGAAATCAACATGAAGTAGAGATCGGGGCCCCGTATCAAAGTTTCAGGCGGGAGCGAGACCCTAGCGTCGGTCTTGCGTTCAATGGCTATCCTCACATGTTTAAACCTTATATTTTAACGACTCTAGGGGAATTCTTATGGTGCTTCTACACTTTAGTTTTTCTATCAATATCTGTCCCTTGTAATCGCAAATTTCGGCTTCGAAATATTTTAATAACTTGGATAACTTCGATTTAAAAAGCGTTTTAAAAATGTTTTATAGATTATGCAAAAGCGTTTGATAAAGTACGCCGTATAGAACTGCTCGAACTGCTGGGTAAGCATGATTTTGATTTATTTTGGAAATACAGAAGCAAGCCGTCTACACACCTCTTTTTAGTCTGTCGTGTCCACTAAAATATCAAATACAATATTTATAAACCAATCACACTCAAGAATACACTTACATCTTAAAACACAGCAATAAAATCATAGATTACAAATCAGAATGTTTGTTGTATTAGTCATCATTATTTTTAGGTAGATACCGACCAAATATCGTACGGACGTAGTAGAAGACATACCAACATACCACGTGACTTCTTAGGGCCAATTATAAATAAATAATTTAATTCTGGAGCCGATATTGTTCGGAAAAAGTGTATAAAAACATACGAAATCCGTTCCCAAAATAATATACACTCGGCTGCCACCAAATTCCACACACCTCTCGCTGATGACCTTTATGACCTCATGTCAAAAACGACAGCGTTGACAAACTCCAGACCACGGCAATACCGCCAACAGTAAGAAACAATTCGTATCTCTCGTATCCGTTTTTACTATGAATCACACACACACACGTTGACTTTTTCATACAAACACACATATCACAACATTTTATTGTTTCTCACACACGTACACAAAGACAGTTTATATTTTATTTCAGAACTTTATCAACTCAAACAAAAGACATTACTTTCCAATCTATTATCAACTGTTTGTATTCCGATCGTTATATTAAATTAATGCTTATTTGTTGAAACTACGTCGTCTTTTCTACTGAATTTTATTCCTTCAATGAAAAGCTTTTGATTATTCTAGACAGCCAAATTACGGGCGACCCTGTAACGATATTTTGTTGTATTGAATCCCGACACTCCAAATTTTAATATTCAACGAAAAACCGAGTAGGAGGATTCCTACAAGTCCTATGCCGTGAGTTTTAGTCCCATCAACTAGCTCGATGTAGTGGTTTTCCGGATGGAATGTCTCGCCGTATTTTTAAAAATTTCTTCACATTCTTGATAATCTGTGAAGTAGCTCCTGCGTCAACTTGGGTATCATTATCTTCTGTTTGTTGTAGTCGTTTATTGTGAAGGCAAACGAGCTTTCTCCTGCCAGCTACTTTATTAATGGTGTCTCTTCTTTTACAATGACACAATTCCCTTTTGTGGGTAGTGCTTTTGCAGTAGTTGCGTTCTTTGTAGTTATTTCGACATATTCTGGCCATATGTTCCTTTCCGCCACACGTAAAGCAGAAGGTTTCTTGTCCGACCTGATTTTCCTTCTTCGTGATTTTTGAGGATGACGAAGTCAACCTCATTACGTTGTCGCTGCTTTGATTGTTTTTATGTCTTACCGTGTTTGTGAAACTCCGAAGTTAGGTTTTAAATTCACGTTTATGGAAAAAGGGTTGAAGTACTCCGGAAAACTTTTAGTACCATTACGATAATCAGGGCATCGTCCATTATTTGTACGGCATTTATCAGGGCTGTTAAGATGATTTCCGTTCTTAATGTATTCGGTGACGTTTTCGATAAAATATTTTTTAAGGGACGTTAACGCGTTGTATAATGAGATAACCCTAGATTTTCCTGCATGGTGGTCGCGTGGTTTTCTTAGGGCTTTTCTTCCATCGTCTGAAGGTTCTCTTATATTGTTAGCGACAAGCTCTTGTCGTCTAAGAACTGTGATAGCATTTGTTAGGGTCCCACCTATGGGCAAATAGTAATCCCCTAAATTGGGGTTAAAGCATGAAAATATAAAAATACATTAAAAAAATTACCATCAATACATTTTCATAGTTAAAAAAAATAAAAAATTACCAGCAATACATTATTGGAAAAAATAGACAAAGCTCACAAGAAAATAAAATTTCGGTATTAAATGACCCATGAGGAGTTGATATGCCATTAAACAAACCAAACCAAACAAAAAAAAGGAACCAAGGTGCCTAGAAATAAAAACAACGACCAGGAGCGATCACCTGCGACGACCAACGATCGTCCAGTAACGACCCGCAGCGATCACCTTCAACGATCACCTGTGACGACCAACGATCGTCCAGCAACGACCCGAAGCGATCATCTGCAACGACCAACAGCGATTACCTGCGACGACCAGCAACGACCCGCAGCGATCATCTGCAACGACCAACAGCGATTACCTGCGACGACCAGCAACGACCCGCAGCGATCATCTGCAACGACCAACAGCGATTACCTGCGACGACCAGCAGTGATCAACGTCCCTTTACTTCAACTCAAATAACCTTTCCTGTATACTATCAGTTATAATACTATGGGAGGTTTCGACGCCGGCCTCGACCAGCATGTACGCAACGCCTGAACATCAACGTTCCAATCGTTGACACGACTGGAACAACTGCACCTCAACGTTCCAATCGTCAACACGACCGGAACAGCCGCACCTTAACGTTCCAACCGTCGACACGACCGGAACGACCACATCTCAACATCCCGTCGTTGACATGATCAGTTCAAACATCGACATGACCAGTCCAACCAACCCTTCGATTACCAAGCCATCAAACCCACAGACACTGAGGTCTGCTTTGTAAATAAACTTTGCATTAATCTTACATATCCTCGTTCTGTTGTCCATTTTGTTTCACCTGTCAGATTTCATGTCTTTAATTCGAAAATGTTAGTGAGACTCTTGTGACCTCATGGATTTGGGGCGCTTGGGCCGTTTCACATCGCCCCCCCCACTCCAGGGCGTCCACTACACTTCTGTTAAGCTTGGAGAGTAATTATACATTCTTATTGTTCAAAGTAGAGTCTAATAGTGTTATAAAAACCTCGGAGAATTCCAGTAAGATATCTTTAATCATTTCTAAGATACAACGGTTCAGAGCAATTGGACAATTTTGCTGTTACACCCGGTAACTTTTGTACTTTTCCTGTAAATAATGACATTTATTAAAATGTATGAACTCTTTTCTATATATGTTCCTTTAAAAAACATTTAAAATAAAAATGTTTACTATGAAAAGATTTATTACCAGAAATCAACTTGTTTATATATTCCTTATTAACCTATTAATATATTCCTTATTAATATTATTATATTATTATATCCTTATTAGATATTTCGCATTAACCTATTAATATAAACGTTACCCTTATTTTGAGATGCCATCCCTGCTCTTTTATCTGTCTTAAACAGTGAAATTAATATCAACCGGCATAGATTGAAAGTCCCAGCGAGAAATGTGCATTCTTTAAATAGCGAATTCAGACGGCCTCCGTAGCGAAGTTGGTAAAGGCACGTTTCGGCTATAGAAACGGTTTCCCTGTTGGAAAACGAGATACAAGTTCGATTCCTGTCTAAGGTACAGTTTTTCCTCAGTAGGACTTCTTAATCTAAGCTGATTTTTTTTATTAATTTCACTGTTTGAAAAAATAATCAAAAAACAAAACAAAAACAGGGATAGTAACTCAAATACATGGACCCACTAAAAATAACATTTAAGAAGAAATAATATAGCATAAAAATCCTTTCAGTGTATATATACATACAAACTTCCATATATATATATATATATATAGAGAGAGAGAGAGAGAGAGAGAGAGAGAGAGAGAGAGAGGCAGGCAGGCAGGCAGACAGGCAGGCAGGCACGGTGGAGTAATGGATAGCGGCTTGGATTGAGGAATCGCAGAGCCGAGTTCGAATTCCAGTCGAATCCATTACATTCACTTACGTGAATGGGAAAGGTATGAATCCTCTTCTTCTCCCTACACCTATGGGTAAAATAGAACTGGTCTAGGAGAAGGACAACTCTGAATTCAAAACCTGCGGAGGGTCGTTGGGGAACCTTGTGGCACTCGGTGCACCAGGTCTCTGTATTCGTCCCTTCAAAAGTGTGGATGGTCCTGCACGAGGCCTTCACCATTATAATCAAATCTCATGTGCCGGTGTCGGGCTGTCGGTTTCCAGGAAACTGATCTGCTTGACCCTAATACGTCGAAACTCGACGGGAGAGTCGATTATTATACACGTTTATATACAAACTATGTGGGTTATGAGGTTATCACTTATGGATCTTGAGGAGGCACGTTGGAGTCATGGACAGCAGTTGGAAGAAAGTTCGTTTCAGTCCGGTAGGTAGAAGTCAGTTGTCCTCTTAGAAATAGGTGGCGGCGTCAATCTGATGTGTTCTTCTCGGCCCTAAGAAGGACAGATGATCGCTTAACTTCTTCATACGACACGCTTGGCTGACTGTCCTTCTCTAGCGGTCCATTCTCCTCTTCTGCCCCAGGGCTATCAGTTTATATCCTTTTTGACATGACTCTCGGACTACTAATACGTGTATGTGTGTGTGTGTGTGTGTGTGTGTGTGTATGTGTGTGTGTGTGTGTGTACTGGTTCCATATAGCTTGAGAAGTATGTGTGTGTATGTATGTGTGTGTATGTACTGATTCCTTGTGGTCGGACGGTGTGTATGTGCGTATGTGTATGTATGTGTGTATGTGTACAAATGAGTTTACTAATTCTTCATAGTAAGACAGTATATGTATGGAGGGGAAATATACGCACGCATATATACACGTATGCTGACAGAAACGCACCAAAATGGAAACAGATCTAAGAACGCACAGGGGTCAGTAAAACATTAAAAGATAAAATGCCGATAAGTAATTCATCATTTCTCTTGGACCAACCTTAATTGTTTTATGACCCTTCGCGCAGAACTCTTCATTGCCAATTTAAGAAAGACATTCGGATTACTAACACAAAAACAGAAGATGTCTCATATCGAGAATATTCAACATTGAAAAACATAGGGAAAAAATTAATTATTTTTAATAATATGTGGAAATCTCCGCTTTTACCTGAAGACGGTCACGAGACCAGAAACTCGTGTAGTAAAATTATGGAAAATAAAGCATAATATTTTTTTCTAAAAAAAACACATTATATTCAAAAACGTTTGCGGCACCTCTCTTCTCTTCTTTTTAATATACATACTTTTCTCTCGTTGGAACTACTACAACCTCTTTCTTTTATATATATATATATATATATATATATATATATATATATACAACTATATGTATTAAACAACAAGATTTACAATGGACAGGGACATTAACATTTGTGTTTGGGCGTGAACGTAAGAGTTTGTATTTTGATGAATGTTCATACGTACGTGTATGTGTGTGTGTGTGTGTGTGTGTTTCATGGCGTTTTCCCACAAGTGGGCAAAACGCAGATCTCAGCAAGAGATCATATTTTTTTAAATATGTCCGCTGAAATGCAGAGAACGAGGAAAGAAATCACCCAGTATTTATAGTGTAGGGGAGAGTACACTAGTGAACATTTAGGAAATTAAGGACGAGTTAACTCTGACAAAATAGATTGCTTGACTTATTGTAGAGTTGTCTCACTTTGACTGATATAGTTACGATTTCTTTTATGTTGTTAAGATATTGAGTGAGCTGGTTTCTGAATATCGTCTAGGTTTAATTGGTCACTAGATGAGTTGATGTTGAAAAGAAATTGAATCCCACAAGCTAGGTCGATGTTAATAAAAATTAACTTTTAGCGTGGAAGTTGGGTTTCATGGATTCGTGCGACGAGTTGATTATTTTAAGGACTCATTGACTAAGTCGCATCGAAGTTTCATATTTATGAGTATTCTTGATTACGTGGGTGCTTGAGAACGTTTACATTTTTTTTTTTTTTTTTGGCGCGTGTTCAACCGTACGGACGTAGGCAGAAACATGATATTATTATTTATGGACCAATCAGAAAGCACTTTTTCGGACTGAACTCTGAAGCCGATTTTAAATTGGGTTCAGCAAAAACTTAGAATACTTAGCTGTGATCCTCTTTTAACAGGTTTAAAACAGAGAATGTAGAAATCTAATTCTACATTTCCTCTTTTATCCCCTTTCTCTCTGTCTGTCTCTCTCTCTCTCTCTATATATATATATATATATAACGAGAAGGAAATCTCGTCATATATATATGAGAGAGACAGAGAAATTTTTTGTGGGAGTAAATAATAAGCAACTGCGTCCGTTACAAATTTGCAGCACCATCTTCGCTGGTCTGGAAATGTTTCGTATATTTGTAATGTAGTTCGACTTTTATTCGAGAGCAAACACCATAAAATAATTCACATTATCACCAGAGATCCAGTCCTTCCTCATTGCACTCAAAGGAAAATGTCACTGTTTTTTCCATCAACCTCAGTTTTTTTTTTACTCGTTATTTGTTGGTCTGTTAGCTTAGTCAAACGTACACACTCTCAACAGCGCAGGAAATAGTGATTTACCAAGCATAGCTTAGATGTGGCACAAGCCTGAAAGTAGGGGGAACCCAGTGAGGATCGAACTCACTACTCAGTCGTAATAGTTCTAGCGAGACACGCTTGCTAACCATTACACCACCTCGAGGTGCCCACAGCGCAGGAAATAATTGACAGGTCGTCTCAGTGGGTGACAATATAACAAAACCGACAATCTAAGATTCAAAAATGGTTAAATTGAACCAACTAATTATATCACTTTTGGTCTTCCGTATATTCGCTAAATGGCGGATCACTGTTAAGCTTCCTGGGCAACGGTCTGCGAAGAGAAGACAAACAATTGTATAAGTTATGTCGCTGCCGCCGTCGTCTGTTTCCTCGGTTTGTTATTCGCCTAGTAATATGATAAATTAGAGAGGGACATTTTACATTTTTTTATCAATTCTGAATGACATTCTCACTTGTTGAGTGTGTTGAAATGAGTCCAGAACACCTGCCGAAAGAGTTTTTTTAAAAGTTTCACAACATGGATAACAACAAAGATTGTGAGTAAAAAAAATATTTTTAAAAAGTTGATAATTTTCAATTATTTTAGTTTATAATTGGCAACCAAAGATATAAATTAAGTATTATCCCGATTTAATTTGAAATTTTATGATTGTATAGTTTTATTCGGTATTTTATTTATTTTTTTGCTTTATATTGCGGTGCGGTGTGAAAACAAATAAAAAGAAAATTGAATATTTTTAATAAGTTGAACTAAAAAGGAGACCAAAAGTCCTTACAAATTCTCAAATTCTGGAAAAAAAAACGATTAAAGTAATTTCAGTTGATAGCAGCAATTTGTCTGAAGTTTTTAACTTCGGAATTATCAATGCTGTCAAAAAGTCTTTGGTAAAAATATGAAACACTAGTGACTAGTTTTACTTTTTATGGTGAAAATAAATGGCTTACTACTCTTTATTAAATTCATCTTTTTTAACCCTTAACAAGCCTACATAAAATTATGTTACATTTTCCTTTAGTAAAAAAAGTATTTTAAGTTATTTTTTTTTTTTTTTTTGTGAAATGAAAGTTTTTAGACAAAATTGGATGTTACAAATTTTTTTTACCTGGTTTCATATTTTAAGATTCGTAGAAAAAACTTTTGGCAAAATATGTACCGGAGGATCGGGCTGAAAAAAAGTCAAATTAATAAGATTCTAAATAAAAATAAGACACAGTAGAAAAAATAGCAAACAAATTTTTAATATAAAGTGGTCACTTGATTTGAACAGGAAAGGTTTTTATTTTATTCAGCACGTATATTTGCATTTTATTGCAGTATGAAAAAAAATATTTAAAAAATTTTTGATGAGTAATTCTGAATGTTTATCTAAGTAGATTTTTTTCATCTTATTCTTACTTAACGCTTTCGTTAATTTCGTTATTCTGGAAAACTTTTTTTAAAACTGAGGTTTTTTTTTGTTTACAAAATTAATTTTATTAAAACTTGATTTTACAATATTTAAATTAATTTTTATGATTATTAACTAAGCGTGAGAAGTTGTTAACGCATTACTTTGTCATAATTGATCTCTCTCTGGGGAGACAAGCTTGTTACTACACAACCGTGAAGTGCCCTCAAAAACGAAAATTATTAGTTTGAATTATTTATATCTTAGCTTTTATTTATTTAGAAGTGGGAAGAATTGATAAAAAAATAAACAAATAAATCAAGGGAAAATTTGGAGTGGCAAAAAAACAAAAAAAACAAATGAAGGTGGAGAGAAAGGAGATAAGAAACCGAGAGAGAATTGAAAAAAAGAGAGCAGGAATAGTGAATTACTAAGGATAGCTTAAAAATGCGACACAAGGCCGAAAGTATGGAGTACTTGGTGAGGATTGAACTTACTTAAGTTGTAAATGATCTAGTGAGACCAGTTTGCTAACTATTACAATATACACTAGAGAAAGGTGCATAAATCTCTCTTTATTTATATATATATATATATATATATATATAGAATTGGACAAAGTCCGACAGTTTATTAAAGACATTTTTTATGTTTAACATTCTTTTTATAGTTACAAGTATTTAAGTAAATGCTCTGTTTATAATAAACAGTATTAAATAACATTTACCAGCCTGAATGTCCAAGAAATTTTTATAGAAAATATTCGTCCTTTGACAGGATTCGAACCTGCATCCTATACGGAACCGTCATTTACGCTGACGTGCCTTAACCGACTCGGCCACAAAGGAGCGTTCGGTAGGCAAAGTTGAATTTACTGCTTACCTTGCGTACCGAACGCTTCTTTGTGGCCGAGTCGGTTAAGGCACCTCTTCAATGCTATAGATGCCACAAATTTGGGCATCACAGAAATTCCTGTCGAAACAAAAAAATATGTGGAAAATGTAGTGAGAAAGAACCAGAACATAAAGAAGAGAACTGTCCAAATGAGAGCCTATGCTCAAACTGTTTGGGAAACCATTCTGCCCTCTCAAAACAATGTAGTATCTATAAACAGGAAAAAGAAATGATCATAATAAAATACAAAAAAATATATCTTTCTCAGAAGCACGAAAGGAAGTTAAAAATAACATAAAAGAAAACACCTATGCTTCCATGGCACAAAAAGCAAATAAAATAAACAATGAAGATAAAATAAAAGGTTCAACTGAAATAACAAATTTATGCAAGGAATTAAAAGCTTTCCTTGAAGAATTAAAAACTTTTTTAATTGAACTTAAATCGGATCAAAATAAAACTCAACAACCCAGATCAAATGGAATTAACCCAGAAGAAGGCAAAAAACTTTGGAAAGAAAACATAGAACAAAACTCTGGCGAACCCTCTTCTTCCCAAACCCAAACTAAGAAAATGAAAAATAAACAAAAAGACAAAAAAGTGACAACAGAGCAAGAAAGCATTCGATCAAGATCTAACTCAAAACCAAGAATCAATATATCAAATGAAAATAAATTTGAGCCTATGGAATATATAGAAATAGAAGAGAAAGAAAATAAACAAAATTCAAAACAAAACCAAAAATCTGACCGAAGGACACCACAAGCAGTTGAAGACAAAGCTTCTAAAAACTCAAGAGATGGAAAAAAACTGGAGAGGACAAATGATATAAACCTAGTAGATAACTTTACCCCCAAAAAATGAAAATATAACTATGGCACATAAGATCCTGCAATGGAACTGTCGTGGAATAAAATCTAATTACAATGATCTATTCATACTTATGTTACTACTGTATATCCAGCTGTCATCTGCTTACAGGAAACTTTTTTACAAGAAAATGCCAACTTAAAAATTATAAACAATACCACTATAACCACAATACAGGACATAGAGCTAATGGAGGAGTGTCAATATTGATTAGAAATGACATACTGCAAAGTAAAGTACATATTAAAACTAAATTACAAGCAATAGCAACACAAGTGACACTAGATAAAACCATCACAATTCTTTCCATTTATATACCCCCACAGGAACCAATAAATACAACAGAAATAAACAACTTGATGGAGCAACTTCCTAAACCCAGAATTTTACTAGGAGACTTTAACAGTAATAATCCTATATAGAATAGCAAAAAGCTAGATACTAAAGGTAAAATATTAGAAGAAATAATTAACACCTATAACTTATGTCTATTAGATCATAAATCCTCAACCTACCTTAATCCCTCCAGTGGAACAGAATCGTCAATAGACTTAAGTATATGCGATCCAGAAATTTGTATGGACTATACATGGAAAACACATAGCGACACATGTGGCAGTGATCTTTACCCGATCATTCTAGAAAATCAAAAGCCTGCCAAGGAAGAAAAGATAGGCCCCGTCAGATGGAAACTGAAAAGAGCCAACTGGGAGGGTTTCAAAAACAAATGTAAACAATTACTGATACAGTCAAAGGACACAGACAACTCGATAGAATACTTTACCAAAACACTAATAACCATTGCCTCAGAAAATATACCAAAAAAGCAAAATAATTATAAAAAAACTAAACCCTGGTTTGACAAAAACTGCCAAAAAAAAGCAGTCAGAAACTGAGAAGCAGCATTGTGAAAATTCAAAAGGAACCCACAACCCAAAAATTTGATTGAAATGAAAAACTCAAAAGCAGTAGCACGGAAAACTGTTAAAGAAGCCAAAAAGGAATGTTGGAAAAAATATGTAAACAGCCTAAATACACATTCCAAAACCAAGACAATATGGGAAATGTTGAGAAAAATAGCTGGAAAAAATCAAATATGCCCAATAATACATCTTAAAAAGAACAACACTAAAGCAACCAGCAAAAAAAGAGATAGCAAACCTACTAGCAGAGACATTTGCAGAAAACTCTAAAATGAGCAAAAATCAAAACCTACAAAAGTGTAAACAAAAAGATATAAATAACCAACTAAATTTTTCATCTAAAAATACAGAAGCCTACAACAACCTATTCACCGAAGCAGAACTAATAGAAGCCATAAAAAAATCCCACAACACAGCAGTAGGCCCAGACCAAATCCACTATGAATTTATTAAACATCTACCACAAGAATCGCTGAAATACCTTTTGAATATTTTTAACAATATTTGGACAACTGGGAAATTTCCCAAAATATGGAGAGAATCGATAATTATTCCCATACTCAAAGAAGGAAAAGAGGGAAACAATCCACAAAGTTACCGATCAATAGCATTAACAAGCTGTCTATGTAAGACAATGGAGCGAATGGTCAATGCCAGATTGAGTTGGTTTCTAGAAGAAGGAAAACACATATCAAAATATCAATGTGGATATAATAAAGGAAGAAGTACAATAGACCACATAATAAGATTAGAAACAGCCATAAGAGAGGCCAATTTAAACAAACAACATATTCTTTGATATAGAAAAAGCATTTGATCAAACCTGGAAACATGGTATAATGAAAGATCTGCATAAACTAGGACTAAGAGGTCGACTACCAAACTTTGTAAAAGGATTTTTAACAGATAGACTCTTCCAAGTACAAATAGATGCTACATGTTCTGATTATCAAAAGCAAGAGGAGGGAGTACCACAGGGAAGTGTACTCTCCCCTACACTTTTCAAAATAAAAATAAATGACATAATAAAAAACATCAAATCAGGAATAGACTGTGCCTTTATGTTGATGATTTTACAATATATTACAGATCGAGAAACCTCGACACAGCAGAGAGACAACTTCAACAATGCTTACATCAAATAAACAAATGGACACTCAAAAACGGTTTTAAAATATCAAAAACAAAAACAAAATCTGTATACTTCTGCCAACTGAAAAAATTACACAATAACCCAACTCTAAAACTAGGAAATGAAGAAATACCAGTAGTTCAGCAATATAAATTTCTAGGAATGATCTTTGACAGCAAACTGACCTTTAGACCACATATTAATTACCTAAAAACAAAATGTTTTAAAGCTCTCCAACTACTGCGAACAGTAGCCCATACAGAATGGGGAGCTAGCAAAGAAACCATTCTTAAACTTTATAGAATGTTGATCCGTTCCAAATTGGACTA